CCTATATTTTCTGGATGAGTAAACAGGTTAAAGTTTATGGTGCAGGATTCATTTCCAAGTAACTTTGAGCCCTATAATGACCAAACTTGCATGGATGGTACATCTAAGGGTGCATTCTACTAGGCTGGCTTCAGAAGCTGAATCTGACCAACATTTTCTGGATTAGTGAAAATGTTAGTTTTTTTTATACAGGTTTCATTTCCAAGTAACTTTGAGCTCTATGTTGAACAAACTTGCATGGATGATACATCTTAGGATGCACACTAATGGACTTGCTTCAGATGCTGAATTCGACATACATTTTCCAGATAATAGACCTCGTAAAAGTTATGGGTGCAGGTCTATCACCAAGAAACTATAAGGCTTATATAAACCAAAGTTGCACAAATGATGCATCAAGGGATGAAAACTCTCAATCTTGCTTCAGATGCTGGATTTTAATTACATTTTCATGATGAAGAACTAGTTTTAAGTTTTTATATAGGTCTATTCCAAAGTATCAAAATTGCATAAATTTTGCATTTTTGGATGTACACTTTTTGTTGGTTAATTGTGTGACTTAATTTGCCTTACTTAAAGACAACATTCGTTGAGATGAGCTCTGTAATCTCTGATTACCTATGTTTTTCATACTCATAAATGTATACACTTTCCGAAAATTACCAATTTCATAAGTAAATAATTCTATTTCTTTCATTAAAATCATTTTAAAATTATTTACGTATTACATAAATATATACATCGCAATGTGTTTGAGGTTCCACATGCCATGCTATACACGCATGCGTATAATTTTCATAACAAAACAGCATGGTAGCTGCTACGTTGACAAAGTCGACCAAAACGAAAAACAAAACCAAAAAAAGGGCTTGAAATTAAAAAGCAACTTGCCTGACAAAAATTTAGTTAGGAGATTAATATAATCATTGGATCAAGAAGAAACGGGAATTCGGCGACATTCACGTGGGGTTCGCAAAGGTTCTACCCTACAGGTTTGTTGATACATTCTATCATTTCTGGTATCTCCATGGCTTTCAAAGAAAAAATCAAAGTACTTAGAAGTACTGAAAGTCAGGCTCATTTACAGGGTAATGAACAAAGACCGTGGCGACAGTTTAAAATCAAGTTCAGACGTTTAGAGGATATGTTACACACAAAAATATCTCGATGGCATGTACAGTATTAAAAAGTTTTAAAAATTAAATAAATATATAGCTAGAAATTAACAGGGTAAAATATTTTATCACGTATCGTTTCGGGGTTTTATATACAAACAGAAGTAAATAAACACCGATGCAGCAAGATTTATTAAGGTCAAACAATTATGCACCGATGTGTCCTCAGCGGGGAGTTTTGCATCAAGTCATTAATGATGTTCCCTGCATTTGTGTTAGCCTGATAGTACAGCCTTTATTTATAGAATATGACGCAGACAGGGATACCTGATGAAAACCTTTCGCACCTTTTGAATTGCTTTGTAAAATATTAGTCAAAGGAGCCACATCGTCTCAAGCCACGGTCCGGAGTCCGCATAAGCTCTCTCCTACCCGTGGCTGCTTGATCACAAAAAATGTCGTAATCTGGAATATTTACGCCTCTCTATTGTGACGTCATATTCAGTCATTGGGAAGTTTTTGTTTCCATCGCAACAATGATATCGACAGTATACAAGGAATATTTCGTAGGCTGCGATTGGATATTGAAAGGTCGCGATAAAGTTCATCATCCGACTATGCTTTACTCGCATTGATCAATATTTTAATGAGTTACGAAGAATTCTCTCCTCGTTCAACCACGGCCAGATGGGAGAGGAGCATACATTTTGGCCGTGGTTTGCGACGATGAAGGAGCCAGGAAAAATATTAAACAATTTAATATTTTGATAAAAACATTCGATTTACTATTTCTTAAGGTGTTTGAATGGATTTTGTTTTCTCAACAGCGGCTGAGCGTACGTACTATATTTTTACTCGTAAACTCAATTTGGCGGTGAAGAAGCAGCATTTCATGTTGCTCACCGTCGCAATAGCCGGTCCAGACATTGCTCTAGGAGCAATGAGGCCGGCTAAAAATCAATGTGAACTCAACATAAAAATGCACTTATGACATATAAAAATTAATGCCATTTGAAGTGCAAATTGTATTGGAACTGCAGAAAGATATTTTGTTTGACATTTTGCCGCGATGACGTATGATTTGGTGGATTTTCCTTTCCTGCACCCAAATACACAAAACGTCAACATTTGTACTTAAAATTAATCATGTTAAATTCGTTTGAATGCAGACTAAAATGTTAACTATTATTAATTTACCGGAGATTGAAGATATTTTGGTTTTGAGAATTGCTTTTACCTAATATTCCATTATAATTGTAAACCCTACATTGTATGCACGTGCCATTTTAGAATTCACGTGGTACAGGTAAACAGATCTATTAAAATTGTACGACCCTTGATTTTCCGGCAGATTCTAATTACGTTTATTTTGTATGAGGAGAGAATATTTATTTTTCTCAAAATGCTTTCTTCAACTTTTTACCGTATTCCTGTATGATATATTGGATAAATTTGAATGAATCAAAGTACTGAAAGCACTCATGGGAGTTGAACATGGTGTGAAATAAAATCTTTGATCAGGAGGTTAAGTGAGTGAACAGTATTATTATTTCAAATACAGACAACTGTTTCAGATTTTTTGAGTTGCAACAATCTTGAGAAAGACACTGCCATTATATTATTTCATGTACATGTACATGTAAATCAAGCCTATTTTCACTAAATATTTCGCCTCAGCCGCAACTGATTCCAGGCCCGTGCTAATGACCTAAGCTACCACACAAATTGCAGAATAACATTTGTACATACCACTGAACAACAGGAGCAATGGTTCAACCACCTCGTTTTCAAGCTAAAATTCATCCTATGAACCCACCACGCTTTTTCTGGTGAAATATCGGAAGAGTGATTTTTGATCTTAGTTTGAATTCGTATTTCTAGTCCATATCCCATGTACAGTAGTAGTGACACTAAAGTGTATGTAAGGCCACCAATTCCCTCCAAATGCACCCATAAAATATTCTAGACATAAAATTACCTATAACATGCATTCAAAACTTAAGTTTCTCTTTTTTTTTTTTTGGACCGATACTTAATCCGAAACTATCCTCTGCCACCTTTACAGTGTTCCCAGAATGCGCGACCGTGAAGCCGAGCATGCGTATTCTAAGAATTTGGACTAACGTAGTTGCTAGCGCTCGAGAGCGCTAGCAATAAGAATGAAAGCAAGATAAATAAATTTTTGGCGGTGATTCCCTTCCATCCGAGTAAGACAGACAACCATTTTTCGTCACGGGTAACCTGCATATTGATGTCATTTTCACATTGTGACGTCACTATTGTGTAGGATAAAAATCATTACTTTTCGCTATTTGTAGAACATGTGCATGACTATAGGTGTGTCAAAGAACGAGGGCGCTTTTGATTGGCATTCGGCAGGAATTTGGGCGTAATTGAAATGTGAAAATTTTATCGACATGTCACATGAAATTTTAACATTTTTTTTTATTAATCGGGTTCCTGTGCAACAGGAAAGGAAAATATTTTCCAAAAATTGAGCTTTGATTTGTTAAAAAATAACTTAAAAATTGGTCAGATCAGACATTTGGTACAAAATGGTACATTTTATTTAATTTTTTTTCTATCTCTGGGTCTTCTCTCCATGATTTTGAAAAGTTATTTGTGTGTATTTTAACTCAAAGAAACGAAAACACTTTTTTAAAAAATGGAGAGAAGACCCAGAGACCACGAAAAACGAACTTTCCCCCAAAACATCCAAATATGTGAATGTGGTGCTTCTTTGTCCTTTTAAAATCATCTGTTTTTGTGTAGCGGTGATAGCTCAGTAAGTTGGGCTACCTGTTCAGTGCACTGGAACCGAAAAGCTTTTGGTTCGAGCCTGGCATGGGGCGTTAATTAATTTTTTCTTTTTCATGCAAACAACCATTTATTTTATCAGTTTCGTTTTATGTACTGATATATTAAAATTTTGAATTTTATATAATGTACATGTACACGTATCATGCATCTATATGCATTTAATATTTAGGAGTTTATTTTTTGTGAAACATTACTATGTTATAGTACCCCCTAGGAAAAACGGACAGAAATGTTACAATCTCACACTTTCAAACTAATTGAAAAAAAAAACAACTATGCTATGGACGTGTTTGTAAACTCTGACAAGCTATGTTCAGGCAACCAAATCATGGACATTTAAACCATAAATGTTTCGTACAAATGATTCCTGCAGATCACACGCCAAATGCGCCCATCTTCTTTCATTCTGATCTGAATCATGGTTTTGAAAATATTTAGCTCTGATCACCCCTCGTATATCCATCTCCCCTCTCTCCAAACCCTCTCCTGTATTTCTCTCACGCCACTAGAGCTCCTACTCTCTACCAACACTAACTTTCTCTCTTCTCTACACTAATTTCCATTTCTCCCCACTCCCTGCTAAATCAATCCACATCCCCATTCTCCAAATTTTTCTCTCCTTCCTTTAACTCTTTTTTTCTCTCTCCAATACCTTCTCTCTCCACTCCCTCTATATATCTCCAATTTCATTCCCAGCTCCCTCTCTTGCCACTCCTACTCTCTCCCTCCCTCCACTCCCTCTCCTCAATTCCACTCTCTCTCCCAACTCACAATTGCTCCACCCCCACTCCCTGTCTCAGCTCCCACTCCTAATTCTCTCACTTTCTTTATCCCCACTCCCATTCTCTCTAATTCAACTCCAACTGCACAGCACTTTCCCTGCTTTCTCATTCCCTACTCTTTTGCTCCCTCCTCCCCTTTTCACTCTCCCTATTCTTTCTCTTCCATGTATCACTCTCTTCTGACTCTCGCTCTCTCTCCCAACTCCATCCCTCTAGATCTGTCTCTTCTCTCCCACACATGCTCCCAACCCTTACTCTCCCCCTTCCTTATCTCTCCTTAGTCTCACTCTCTCCAATCCCACCCTCTCCCCACTCCCTCTCTCCTCTTCAACGTTCTCTCCACATTCTCCTCTCCCACTCTTGCTCTCCACTTCAACTCTCTTCCTTTCTTCTTTCTCTCCCCTCCTCCTTTCCAATCCCTTCTCTCTCTTTCAACTCCCACCCTTCCTCTCTTCCAAGTCCTACTCTCTCTCTCTCTACTCCCTTTCTCCTTTTCCACTTTCCCTCTCACCCTCTTTTTCCTCATTCTCACTCTCCCAAATCGCACTTTCGATCCTATTTTAACTCTTCTTTCGACTCCCACTTTTCTTCCCACTCCTACTCTCTCCCCATTCTCCCTTTCTCTCCCCACGCCCTCTCTACCTCTCTCTCTCTCTCTCTCTCTCTCTCCACTCCCTTCTCCCCACTCCCTATTTCCCACTCCTATTTCTTTAACTCTCCCATTTTTCTCACTCCCTCTCCCCATTCTTCCCCACTCCCTTTCTCAACCAATTTTCCCACTTCCTCTCTCTCCCCACTCCTCTTTCTCTAACTCTCCCCACTCCATTTCTCCTTCCCCCATTCTCTCCTTTTCTCCCCATTCCCCTCTCTCCCCCTTTCTCCCCAGTCCCTCTCTTCCATCCTCCTATCTCCCACTCTTCCCCGTTCTTCCCACTCCCTCTCACACCTACTCTCCCCACTCTTTCCCACTCTCTCTCCTCACTCTTCTTTCTCTATCTCTCCCCCTTCCCTTTCTCCTTTCCCACTCTCTCCAATTCTCTTCACTCCCTCTCTCTTCTTATTCCCCTCTCTCCACCATTCTCCCCAGTCCCTCTCTCCCACACTCTCTCTCTCCCCATATCCCTTTCCTCCTTCCTCCCACTCCCTGTCTCTTTACCCCCTTCCTTCTCTCTCCCCACTCTTTTTCTCGACCACTCTCCCCACTCCTCTCTTCCACTTTTCCCCCACTCCCTCTATCCCCCACTCCTCCAAGCTCCCTCCACCCCCACTCTCTATGTCTCCCAACTCAATCGCCCTCTCCCAGCTTTCTTTCCCCACTCCCTCTTTCTCCCACTCCCCAATCCAATCTCCTTTTCTCTCTACACTCCCTTTTTTCCATTATTTCACTCTCTCTCTTCCTTTCTCTCTAAAATTCATTCTAATCAAAGTACTGTGAGTACTGAAAGACGGTGGCATGAATGATTTTGTTTGTTTAACGTCCCTTTCGAGAATAAAATTTTGAGCAGCGAGGAATATTTTTCTGGCTAGCAATTACTGCGACATGGGATCTCAATCTGAATTAAGGACCGATATCCTTGTCCCGCAGTGGGGTCGAATCAGCGACGTAAGGATGGACTCCTTCCGGTTCGTGAATCCAGAGCAAACCCGCTACGTCAAATGGAGACTGGAAATTATAGGGCCTAAAAGTCTATTTCAATTTTTCACAATACATGACCGTACATATGCATGTACTTTAATATATAAAAAAATTATATTTTTGTACTTAAAAGTAAAGTGTTATGAATTCTCACTGTGATATAATTTTTTTTTACATTTTGCATAAAAAATATAACAAATTTTTTAATAGATATATGCATGAATAAACAAATTTGTGAATATTATTAAACCTATGGTTAAAAACACCATAAAACTAGTCACAACTATATATGGCTTTTCTTTACATATTTCATTAGGTATTCATGTGATGCATTCATTTACAGCAATATTTTTACAAGAAAGCATGTAATATGGATGTAAATATTTTGTTAATTATCTTTGGAAAAAATAGAAGAAATTCATACAAAATAATTAATAGCTAATGTCGGCCTTTCAATGCTGAAACCATTGTTTAAAAGGTTGACTCAGAGATCTATTATATAAAATAAAAAGGGTTTGTTCCCGTTTTGCACACATTTATTATAATAGTATTTAAGAAACATCTGCGCGTGTGTTGTTAAACAATTATAATTATTTGATTTCGAAGTTAGAAAGTGAAACAAGTATATACAAATATTTTTCATAAAATATTCTAAATATTATTGTAATTTTAAACTAGCACAGTGTGTATACGAACTGACTTTTCGCACGTTTGAGAAAAAACGGAAAAAAATGTGTACAAATCGACTTATGTAATTTGCACGTATACGAGTCGGTTGGTGTATATTCATGAGGCGAGAAATTGATAACGGCAAATACCAGGAATTATGCTTTGTGTTCATCAACTAAATGTCTTTGAAATAACTTGAAAGTATTTATTAACTGTGTACATTTTATTTTCAAACATTGAAACAAGTCTACTTTCATTATTTTGACTCTACAAAAATCTCCGTTAGGGTCCCCGTGTGTTTACACTGTTGTTTATTCATAGCCCAGACCAGCAGCAATAGCCTGGGGCTATATATAGCCACCGTCTAATAATTTAAATATAAATTATTTAACTGAAACCATTGTTTAAAAAGCAGGGGCCCGTTTTACAAAAGGACTTACGACTTAAGACCAAATTTTATTCTTCATATAACTTTTTAATCAACTTTATCTCGAAAATTATTTTTAACTGTGGTAAGATATTTTTAAAGAAACAATTTCAAAGAGAATGATTAATTTTGCAAAATTTTACAATCGTCTAAAGTTTTGGTCTTAGTCGTAAGTTCTTTTGTAAAACGGGCCCCTACTTTTACTATGGGAAATGTTCAGTGAAAGGCTGGTTGCCCCCCCCCCCCTTTATACTACAGGAAAGTGATTTAAGGGAAATGTAGTGTTGAATATGAAAAAATTGGTACTATGATAAGTTGGCATTGAAAAAGTTGCCTCCCCCCACGAAATACGATGCTACGTGGCAATTAAGGGTGACTTAAATATCTATAAAATAAAAGGTTGATGTGACATTCCACCTTAAAGAAGTTACTTAAAACTCAATAATTACTAATTACCCTTACACTTATCATCGTTGTCGAGTGTGACTAAAATGGGTAGCGAAACCCGGGCCGGGCCGGGATTTTCGATAACGAAAACCGGGTTTTTGATAATCACGAAATAAATACTCATTCTTTCTTCATGAAATTTACAGACATAGTTTATTATTCTAGGATTGGCCTTCGCTGAAAGTTTTAGGTCAAAATTTTGTGTTTTTTAATGATTATCACCGATTGCCCTTTTCCAAGTGACTAAAATGGGTAGCGAGCCTGGATTACTCATTTTGGCGATTTATACTTAATTTCGGCAGCATATTTACAATTATTTCATTTGGATCTTTGAAATTGAACTTAAACTACCTGAAACATTTAACTGTTGCAGTAATAAATCACGATTATTGAAAATATACGCATTTTTGCACACCCGTGATTGGTCGAAACCGGACACGTTCACCCGGGAAAAACCTTTTATTTCCGAAATACTTATCAGATAATGACATATAATCAAATATATAAATGACTCTTTTTTGATTTGCATATTTTTATTAATTTTTTCCAATTTATTTCTTAGATGTATCTCGGTCAGGGACTGGAAAAAAATCTACATTCTTTCTCTGGCAATCCGGAATTATTAATTTGTCCCGGGCAAAAGCGTCCGGTTTTGACCTGTCCCGGGTCTATGAAAAATGACAAAAACCCTAATAATTGACATCTAATTTCATAACGATTGAACAATTTAACTATTTGAAGTTAATAAACAACCATTAAATGCAAATATCACAAACACTTTCGATGCATTAAGCTTAAAATCGTCAAAATGAGTAAACCGGGCTCGCTACCCATTTTAGTCACCTGGAAAAGGACAATCGGCGATTACCATCGAAAAACAAAACATTTTGACTTAAAATTCTCAGCGAAGGCAAAACCTATACTTATAAACTATGTCTGTAAATTTCATGAAGAAAGAATGAGTATTTATCTCGTAATTATCAAAAACCCTGCTCTCAGTTTTGAAATTCCCGGCCCGGCCCGGGTTTCGCTACCCATTTTAGTCACACTCATCGTTGTCGTTATAGGACAACTGTCGCGCATTCGAACAACTCGGGATCGGAATCCTCAAAATCCCGTGTGTGTCTGCAGCTATCAATATTTTATTTTGATATCAAATGTTTCCAGAAATCGATAGCGTATTCTTGGTACTGATGATAGTCCCAGCATTGTGAGTGATTTACATAGTTACTGATATATAATTTTAGTTTCAGAAATGCTTCCCAAACAGAAACTCTATTTTAATTTCAGTTTGAAAAGCAAGCTTATTCAGCGATCATCATCATGACCTTGTTGTCCGCCGCTAGGCCAAAATAACATCTATATCAAGGATAGTTTCGAAGTTGCCATGGCTACATAATAAGCGTTAAGTAAGTGTATTTGTTATTCTTGTTGATTATTACGGTAATGAGATACTGAGATTTAATTGTAGTAGCATGAAACATAATGACAATCATACGCGCCTCGGTTGACAATGGTTTTCTTGGGGTGAAAATTTTCAATGTTACACTCAACTACATGCAATATTTATTACATGTATACTATACTGAATGTTTTATACAAATACATTTAAGAAATGAATTTAATTTTTGAAGATTCATGAGGTTATAATTTAATTCTGGTTGTAACGCTGTATTTGATTGGATAAAAAATTTACTTCATATCGTATAAAATGGGTTGCCTACGTCACAATGACTTTCGTCAAAAACGTATCAATCCGCCTGACGTTACATTCAAATTTTGTACAAATTGAAGTCACTTTGTTAGAACAATATTCTTTTTTTCTTACATCAAATGAATGAAAATTAAATTATAAGCAATGAATTTAATAGCTACCCATTTTATACGGTATAAACTGGGTTGGAACAGTTTACGCTTTTTTATAAACCGCTTCGCGGTTTATAAAGCGTAAACTGCCCCAACCCAGTTTATACCATATAAAATGGGTAGCTATAAAATTCATTCCTTAAATGAACCATGACGCTTTTTTTAACAAATGTTTCTTGACCAATCAGATTCAAGTAATTTACATGAAAGTATAATATATAGATTTAGCAGTGTTAAGCTGTGTAGCTTGATTTACCTACAACTTTATTCACCTACTCTAAGTAAACTTATTTATATAGAAACGAAAACAATCATTTCTTATTGTAGCATTTTTTCAGGATTTGCAGAAAATCTCGCTTTGACACTGGGATCATTTTCAGCTTTGAACTCATAATGCAGAAAACAATTCATGAAAATTTGACCATGCACTCTTGAAGTGGTGTCTTTTACTTACCACAATCAAAGTTCTGAAAATTTGGGGCTACATACAACAGTGATTCATTTTGGAAATGATTAGCATAGGTCTTGAGGACCCCCTTTAATGACAATAACGAGTCCCATGCCAAAATCAATGCGCCCAAATCCAAGGGTACTCAATAGTACCGTATATTAGATATTACAGAGGAAATTCTGGTGAAATATAAAAAGGGTAGCTGCACATGGTTAATACTTATATAATAGTGTTGTGTTTTGCATGCAC